GATCTAAGGGATTACAACTATCTACTTTATATTAAATTATTTTTTTTACATATGTATATCGCAATTTAGACAACAAAAATTGAATAACTCAAAAACGAAACAACATTTTGTTCTTAAAAAATCATTTTTTTATATTACTTTAATTTATATTAGTTATTATTTTTTGGAAACAAATGATTTAAAAAAAAAACCGCTTAAACCAGTATAAAACGAATTTAAAAAGAAAACTCTCAGCAGGGAACTAATTTTTTGAGTTTGACTTACAAATTACCGGTTGTTTTCTCTTAGAATATTTTTTTAATAAGATTATTTTTCTTAAACTGTCCAATTTTAAACTTGAACTGAAATTTTTAATCGAAAATTAGTAATTTGAGGAAAATATGCACAAATATGTAACATTTCCAAAAAAAAAAGTTGCCAAAATATGCAAAATATGCATTTTTTAATGGGCTTCTTTTAATCAAAAAACTAATGCATTTTGCATATAATCCGAGCCTTAATAATCAATATAGTCAAATTTGGTACAAAATGCAAAATTATGTATAAAAAGCTTCATTTTTACTTTACTAACAAGGCAGAAATTACAAAATTAGTTTTCAAATGCCTATTTTGATAAATTTACAGTGATTTATCAAGAAATTCACTAAATTAGAGAAATTTTACTCTAAAAGTGTACATTTTTCGTCTTTATTTAGAAAAACAAAAAGTTGAGACTTTATGATGACAAGGTAAAAAAGCGATTTTATCGATATTAAAGAAAACTTGAGCTTAAAAAGCAATGAAACGTCCTTGACAAACAACAGATTATTACAGAAAAAAAATTTTAGTCATATTTTACAAGCAGAGACACTGCCCAGAGACGTGGCGGCGCAGTCACATAAAACCCGGAGTTTAACTTTTGGCCAAACTAGCAATTTTTTGTTAAAAAAAGAGCCATAAAAACAAAGAAACTAAATATTCTGTCAAATAGTGCAAGAAAATTAGCGTTTTTTATTGAATATCCCAAAAGTTTGAAAAATCTTGTTAAAACAAAATAAAAAATAGCAAAATTAAAGTGCTTTATTTGTATTTATTTTGAGAGATTTATCGCATTTTTTACTGCAAAACTAAATAAATTTAA